CGTGTTGAAAGATAAATTTGAAACGTACAATGCAGTGTTCGAAGAATGGCTCGAATCTGGAGTAATAGAAGAAGTAACAGAAGAAGAGGAACGAGTTAACAATCATTATCTTCTCCACAGACCGATCTTCAAAGGTAACTGTACAACAGCGGTAAGGCCTGTATTTGACGCTTCGTGCAAGCAAAAGGATTTCCTGTCACTTAATGACTGTTTAGCAAAAGGTCAAAATTTAATTGAATTAATACCTAGACTGCTTCTTGAATTTAGGAAAGGAAAAATAGGGATTATTTCAGATATTAAAAGAGCTTTTCTTCAAATATCTGTTCAAAGATCTGATCGTGATTTCCTAAGATTCCTATGGTGGAAAAACTAGAAACAGAAGGAAATAAAATTTTGCCATTGCAGAGTAGTCTTCGGACTAAAATGCAGTCCGTTTCTTTTAGGAGCAGTGATCAACTATCATTTAGACCAATGTGAACCTTCTTTGAAGGAAGTGGCTACAAAATTGAAAAATTCCTTCTATGTTGACAACTGTGTCACTTCAGTGAATTCGAATGAAGAGGCAGAATACTTTATTGCAAAATCTTTGACTTAGAAGGGTATGAGCTAACAGAACTGAACAGTGGAAAATCTACAATGAGCGAACCATTGAAAGTACTTGGTCTTCTGTGGGATAAATATGAAGATTCTTTGTTTTGTGACATCCCTGATATCAACTTGACTGATCTCTCAGTGACAAGACGAAACGTACTATCAATTGTACAGAGAGTTTTTGACCCAATAGGTTTCACATGCCCTTTTACTCTCCTTCCAAAGTTATACTTGCAAAAGAGCTGGGAAACTAAATTGAGCTGGGATGCAGAGCTACCTGAAGATATCAAAAGAAAATTCTTGAAGTGGGTCAAAGAATTGCCCTTGTTATCCTCTGTGAAGATTCCCAGACTACTTTCATTCACAGAAGGACAATCTTTTAGTTTGCATACGTTTGCCGATGCTTCACATGGATCTTATGCAAGTGCAGTATATTTGAGAAGTCAAAATAAAGAAGTTAAAGTGACCCTAGTGCAAGCCATAGCAGGAGTGGCTCCCTTGAAAAAAATAAGTATACCACGACTTGAATTGCTTGCTTGTCTTATTGGGGCGCGATTAGCATCATTTGTCAAGAAGAACCTTAAGGTCGAAATTTCAAAGGAATATTACTGGACCGATTCGTCAACAGCACTGTTCTGGATAAACAACGTAGAAGTTTGGAGCACTTTTGTGAATAACAGAGTTTCAGAAATTAGAATCCTATCGGATCGTGAACATTGGCATCATGTACCAGGTGCGGAAAATCCAGCCGATATGCCATCAAGTGAATGTTCTGTGAAGAAATTCATTGAATCAAGATGGTGGGAGGGCCCACCTTGGTTGGCACTGCCGGAAGAAGAATGGCCTCGTTCTATTCCAATCGATAATAAAGAAGAGGTTAATACTGAAAAACGTAAAGCAGTTATAGTTTCGTTAAGCAATGTTAGCGATATGTCTTCACAATTCTTTGGCTATTTTTCAAAGTATAAGAAAATACTTACTTAGAATGATTGGGTGGATACACAGATTCATAGGAAATACCCGAAAGAGGAAAGAAGAAAGAGAATCAGGAGAGTTAAAAGTTTATGAATTGATAAGGGCTGAGAAATCTATCGTGAAGATTATTCAACATGATTCTTTTTCATCTGATGATATTAAGAAGCTGAAGTCAATAAGTGTGTTCAAAGATGACGAAGGCATTTTACGTGTCAGGTCTAGGTTGACTGAAAGGAAAGACCATGAAAATTTTATTTATCCGATGTTACTTCCGAAGAATCATAAGATTGTGGAGAAATTGATAATTGATAAACATCTCTCTATGTCTCATCATGCAGGAATTCACGTACTGATGTCAACACTTAGAGAGACGTTTTGGATCCTGAAAAGTAGAGCTACGATTCGAAAAGCTTTACATGCATATGTCAGGTGTAGGAGACATGGAGGTAAACGACGACAGACTGTGCCTGCTACTCTACCAGAAAACAGAGTTAGAGAGGCTCGTGTTTTCGAGATTGTCGGCGTTGATTTAGCTGGCCCATTAATTTTGAAGGATAAAAGAAAAGCTTGGATTTTACTTTTCACATGTGCTGTTTTCAGGGCGGTCCATTTGGAATTGATTTTGTCCCTTTCAACTCAAGGATTTTTACTCGGTCTTAGAAGATTTATTGCCCGTAGAGGGAGGCCATCGATAATTTATAGCGATAAGGGAAGCAATTTTGTCGGATCCAATAATCTCTTGAGATCGATTAATTGGAATACCATTGAGATAGAAGCCGCCACAAACAAGATCGATTGGAAGTTCAGTCCACCCGCAGCACCATGGTGGGGTGGCTTTTGGGAACGACTTGTTCAAATGATTAAGAAGCTTTTGCGTCGAGTCCTAGGCCAGTCATGTCTGAATTATGAAGAATTGATGAGTGTGCTGTGCGACTGCGAAGCAACTGTGAATGCCAGACCACTCACTTATGTGTCAGAGGACTCTGATGATCTCATCCCTTTGACACCGTCCTTGTTTTTAGGTGAAATTCCAGTCTTTGGAGTTCCTGACTTGGATCATCTTGATAAAGTTGATTTCAACAAGAGACTGAGACATTTACAGAATTTACGAGAGCTCTTGAGAAAGAGATTTAGAAATGAATATCTCGGCCTGCTAGTGCAACGTCCATCTACAGTGCCGATTTCTCAACAGATAAAAATCGGGGATATAGTTCTTATCGAATGTGATGACAAACGCAAGGTGTTGTGGCCTCTAGCAAAAGTAATTGAACTATATCCCGGAAAGGACGGCAACATTCGAGTAGTTCGTGTCAAACCATGTCTGGAGAATTAGTTTGACCAATCCAGGGAATATTTCCTCTCGAAATACCTTCATTTTTGGAGTCAGATGAGGCAAATGAAACTGAAACGCAGGGTGAAGACAATTTAGCTCAAAATTACCAAAGAATAATTTTGCTGAAGATTTATCAAAGGACATTAAGACTGTCGTGACTAGAATTGGACGACAAATTAAAATTCCACCTAGATTTCTAACCTGAACACTACTTTAGTTATTTTAGAGTAGAAATTTAAGAACGTAATTTTTTCTTTTGTTTATTATTTAGCCTTAATATTTGTGTGGACAGTATTTTTTATTATATTTTGTTTTGATTGATTAAGTATATGTCATCAATCAAAAGGTGGGAGTATTGTTAGAACCTAGCCTCAGTTGTTATTTTTCTTTTCATAGTTTGTCACTGTAAGAATGGCAACCATCGGATTTTTGTTGCAGTTTCTTATAGTTCAACGGATTTTGAAAATAAATATGACGCTTTAGAATTTTATATGTAAAGTTATTTTATTTTAAGTTTATTAGGAGAAAGGATAACGGGTAGTTCTTGCAAATCTCGAACACATAGAGCCATCGAATTTTGAACGACGTAATCCTCTTACGAATATGGGCATGTGGAAGCCTAAATTTAGAATTTGTTTTATTATCGATTTCATATTTTCTAAAACTTTAACGAATTACTCATTAACAAACTCAAGAATTTCAAAGCGAGCAATGCCAACGTTTCCAGAAAAAAATATTTTTATCTGCAGCGAGTGAGACTGTGTATCGGAAGTTCTAAAGATATGCTCAATTTAAAATTATTTTGCGACATTGCTATTGAACTGAATTTTATGGTTTAAGAGCAAAGAACATGATATTTAATAAATAAACGTAACACACAAAACGTTAAAAAAACGCCCCTTTGGACGTAATTTAAAATCTGAAACCTTTCAGAATTTTTTTGTAAGTAGTATAAATGCAACAATTTTGGCGCCCTGTGATTTAGTATTTAATTTAAGGTATAAAAGCTTAAACAAGTGCATTTTTAAAAAAAACTTTTGGTCTTGGTGTCAGTGAATGAGTCTGTTACTTGGTAATAGCAAAAATGTCTTTCAGTGATCAAAGAATCATTGCTTTTATACTAGATGCGCCATTCAGAGATCGCTTTATTTATGTACTTGGATCTTGGATCTTATCTTTACGGCTAGCATTAACTACAAAGAGTTCTAACCAGTATCCTGAAAGTTATAACCATTTAAATATTTGCTTGGTTTTAAAAGAAATCAAAGATGTACTTCTAGTACATCGTCGCACGAGGCGAAAGTTCAAAATGAGAGTTCATGAGTATGTAAAATAAGAACGAAAGCTGTTCTTCGTCTTGCGCTACGCTGGCGTGGAGGCAGTCAGAGGAGAGGTCATGTGATCTTGAGAAGGCACCTGGTTGGTCGACATCAAAATCAGCAAAGTTCATTAAAAGTTTTAAATTTAATGATAAAAACACTTAATATGTAATAGATTTATGTAAATTCCTTTAAAACATAGTCCATAGCATGAGATTGACACTATTTACACAGTGACACAGATGAGACAAAATACACCATTTACACAATAATATTTAAATGAAAAATGAAAAACTTGAACTTGTAGGCATGGCTTCTGAGAACCAATGCGATACTCAGAGTACGAAACAGAAAAACACGAAGTCCAGAGTGGAAAATTCTTGAGTAAATAAAATATGTACTAACTACAAGTTGAAGTGCGCTATATACAAGATGATGATTAAATGAGTGAAACTATAAAGTTACAGTCATGGAATTGTAGTTAATCAAACTAGAATTCCAAATCAAATATTCGTAAAATAGTCAAAAGCGGCTATGCCTGTTTCGATTTTACTCATCAATGATTTTGCTGTTTTGAATTTTTGTATTAATTCTTAAGCCTTATTTATATAAGTTTGAATCCATGAAAAGACTGAAGTTTCATTTTCACTATCAGTGGTTAAGTTATTTGTCTATTTACGTACTATTATGAGCGCACTATTTTATATTAGTTGTAATATTTGGCAACACCAATGTAATGCTCTACATTAATTATTTTAAATGAATATGAATTCCATGAATTGTTTAGAACCACAATTAATTTAAATGGTATAATATAAGCTATCCATTTTCTCAACTTTCTTTTTCGGAGCAATTTTTATGTTAACTTGTAAGAAAGTTTCTTCATTTTGCTATTAAATATTCAAATATAATGGTAAGAGTCTTTTTTTAACAAATATTATAGTTCAATACTTTAAAATTTTTAATTACATTGAGTGATTTAATTTAAATGACGGAATATGTATTTTCTTTCCATTTACTTGGTATTAAATGTTTAGTTTATCATAATTGGGGACTACCCAATTTTTGAGTGTTGTAAATGAAAGTTTGGGTTAAAGTATATTTGTTTTTCTCTTTATTTGTAATTGCTTTTGAATTTCGGATTTGCATATAATGATGGTTTTAGACCGATTTTTTTTTTGGAATGTCCAATTTGCATAATGTAAAGTTTTATGGGTTTTTTTTTTTTAGTATTCAATTTGGCACAATGTTATGTTTTATTTCTTTTTCCAAGTGTTTCGGAAGTGTGCAGGGAAAATTCTCATACATTAGAGATTCGATTTTTCGGTTTTATATGAATTCTAATGTCTTAAAATGAAAATTAAATTGAAGCATTTTCAGTTTCTGATCTCAAATGAACCATGAGAACAAAACATGTTTTCGAAACATATTAATCGACTTTTGTGAAGCTTTAATTCATTTTCCCCTGATCAGTTCTGAATTAAGTTTCAGTAAAAAGAGACTAATTTTTAAATTTGTAAATTTTCCCTTTCGCATTATTATTTTCAAGTTCTAATATGAATTCTTATTTTAATTTTAATTTGTTTAGATAGTGGGCAAAACCTCTTATACACGTTTGCAGTTATTAATATTGTTGTAGAATTGCCTTGCTTTGATACCAATCTAATATTAACTTTAGATCCTTTAAGTCTATTAGACTTCAATCCTGCAGCTATAGAGCAGGATGGTTTTTATAAGATATTTAAGATTAATTTTTAAGATTAAGACGGTTTTAACTTTTAGCCTATTATAATGAATAAATAGACGTTACGTCTGTTTATCCTTTTCATTTTCTGAAAATTACAGTTGTGTTATCTTGAACGCCTCACTTTCCTAATAGATCAAGAGCGTTCCCAACGGGATCGATGTTGGCCCCATGGGGGGATCGATGAAATTCTATAGTGGTGAAGGATGATCAAGGGATGGACTGAGGCTCAATAACCGAATATGCAAAGGCAATTAATCAACATAGTCAACATTCCATTGATTATAGAAATACATATTTACGCTAAATTTTGGATTTTAAAAATCATAAGAAAGAAATATCTCAAAACAGAAGTTTTTACCGATCTAGCATTATTGCCTTTTATCTTTTCCTATGTAGTAAAAGTAGGTTTGAGTCAAGTCAATAATTTACTACGGAAAACAAGGAACATATTAAATATTTCTTATGAGGTGACTTAAGAATTAAGTTAACCAATTTTATGCCAAGATTAAAAAATTACATAATACACAAAGAGCAGCTATCATATTTAATTGAAATCGAACTTTTGTGCAGTTAGAATCTGTAATTTTATTTCTGAAAACTTGTTCATATTTGTAAAACAAAAAATGAAAATAATGCAAAGATAATAAAACATAAATATAATAAACCTTTTTTTTTTCAAATCTTTTGTTCACATTGTTAGTCTAATTGTTATTATTATGCTATTTATGCTCAATTATTTGTATTATGGGTATGCTGTATAATGTATAGAGAAAAATGTAAAGGGTCAATGAAGAAAACAAGTCTTTTAAAGGGGATCTATGTAAGAAAAAGGTTGGGAACCCCTGTAATAGATCTAAATAACTTGTATTTTGATTGAATGTTTCGATTGCCCTTCGTTACTGTAAATTTTACTAGTTTCAGTCCTTTGGGGAAGGCTGAATTTTCATAATAATAATCAAGTATATATTTTTCAGATTACATTTATTCATAATTTATAATAACTTGTAAAATATACATTTCAGAAACGGCTGAAATTGACGCGAATTATTACTCTAGCTCATTCCATGCCCTACGGAAGACCTCATGAAGCAAGGATAAGTCAGGTAGTATACCTGTCGATGGCCATAAGCCCTGAGCACTTATAATGATGCACGGCTTATTCCATGTCATCCCGGTTTTAGTCTTGAACTTTCAAGGAAAGAAATCCGAGTGTCTCTTCCCTCTCTTTCTTTATGACAGTCACGGGATCTCGACTAACACGAGCAGCAATGTCGCGGAATGATAAAATGCCGTACTGACAAGCCCGATCCTCCCAAGTCACGATCCACGGTTGAATTCTAAAAGATGTTAGTAATAGTTTCTGCTCCTTACACGAGGCAAAATCGACTTTTACACAAACGACCAATGTTCAAATGCGATTTACAGTGTTGATAGCATTACTTATACCTGCTTCGCGTTGCAATGCTAATCATTTGCATATCCTAAGATATAGAATCTTTCATGCAAATTCAACGTTTGTTGCATGTCGCCTTCATGGTGCAAGAATTTTAATGACCAGCAGTGTATTTAACATTTTTAGAAAAATGTAATCGTAACCTACATTGAATTCCGTCTCTCCGACCGATATAAATGTCAGTAGAAGCACCTATGAAGTCATAGATTGTGGTTTCGAACACCATTAAGATACATGCTCCCGTTAAGGTGCCTATAACGAATTGTCTTTGCGGAGAAGTAACATTCAAAATCCACTCGTCCAAATGTATTCTTGAAAAGCCCGAGTGACAGAAAGAGGTATGTGAAACATATGAATTCTATTTCCAGTGGCATTTTTGATGAAACGTGGGATGGTGCCGGATAATCTCGTATTGCCATTATTGGCGCTGAAGACATTAGTAGTAATGAAACGCAGTTAGCTGTTCATTGAGAAGTGCAAATGATTCATGATTACGCCAAATCATTCATACACGATTGTTCATAGTTCGGTTCGGTTAGGTTATTTGAATATGACAAAACATAAGAAGGCTGAGGGAAGGGAGGTCTTCGTGGACTAATAGAAAGTGTCACGTTACACATGGATCAAATCTCGAAAACTAACCGTGCAGCTAGCTCGTTCGCCTGAGTTCAACCCCTGAGTTATTCAGTGGTCTTAAGCACTAGGCCAGAGGTCGAGCTTATTATTGCTCATGACACCTGTAACATAACTAATGCCAAGTTTCTGGATAAGCTAGAACAAAAGGATAACAAGAATTATTTTATAAGAAACTTATTTGTAAGCATATAATGATATTTTATAATATTTAAAATTTTATAAGAAGATATATTTCTTTATTTCAACACAGTCAGTAAGCTGCGACAGTCAAATCTAGTTCTACCCGTCGCATATTTTGTATGCTTTGTGAGTTTAGAATATTCCCCGTGGTTTTAATATGACGAAAAAATACATCTTCCATGCTTCTTCCATGGAACTAAGCGAAGCCTTGTAAGTGGTAAAAAACTGAGAGAGAACCGGATCTCGTTCTCTCACCACTGACATTCAAAATTAATTAAAACAGAATATGGCGGTATTTGCTGATACAGTTCTTTATTTCTGCATGCATTTGAAAAGTATACAATTTTAGAAATAAAACTTCATTTAGCAAGAATAATCGTTATTAATATTAAAGTCTGTTTTGGAATATTTTAATTATTATGTTACAGAATGTATGTTACAGATATGTTACAGTATTATATGTACAGATTGTAACATAATAATTCCAAAACAGAATTCTTTTTTTTTTTTTTTTTTTTTTTTTTTTTTGTATGTAGCTGACATTGTGTTATATAATTTATCTTCACTTTTCAGAGTAAGCCTGTATCTGACGAAGAAAAGTATAAAACACATACTCGGATTGTGAGTAAAATTTATTATCTAACTGTTTATAAACAAATATATATATGTTTCTTTACATTCATTATTTAATATGAAACTGTGTACCATAATTCATCATTGGAAACGATAGCTTATTTTTTAAACTCCACGTTTTTTAAAAAAATAATTTTTGTCTGTGCCATTTATTCATAAAAATTGCCAGACTTGTTTACGATGATTCCAAATGTATGTATTAAATATCCGAGGAAAAGATTTCTTTGTTTCGTGATTTGACAGTAATTGCTATTTCTTGATTTATTTCGTGATTTGATAATACTGCCAGGCAGATTTAACTAGTCACAGATGTCAGAATCATGTCCATTACAAAGAAGTATTTTCTGTCTTCTGCCGTTTATTTTAATCATATTCAATAATCAGCTTAGCTATTTTTTATTATTTATTACGTGCTTCGTTATTAGGCATTGCAAGGAAAGGAATGGATGCCCCGTGGAAAACGTTTTAAGGGAAAGTGGGTCGTATTCAGGTTACATATAGGGAACATCGAATATTGACCACGAAAACTGCAATGCAGTCAGCTGATTCGCCGGGGCTCGAACACCAGACCGAACTACCAGTTTTTAGCAGCTTTTACCGCTCAGCCGCTCGTGGGCCAAATTGTATGTTTACATTCCAATTTTACAAGCTAATTTATGTACGGCATTCATGCAGAATCCAAAAACGCGGATTATCTCTTAGTACCTTGGCTACAGAACTCTCCTAAGTGAATTTCAACAAGCTTGATCTAACTTTGCTTAACTGTGTTGCAGTTTGAAGTATATCTGGAGGCCAGTATATTGTGTCCACTGCTATTTTTCTCGTAACCACTTGACAATTTCCCAAGCCAAATAACTAGGTACACTTCACTCTTGAAAGACAATATTCTTTTCAGATAGAAAGCATATAGATGTAAATAAATACAGATGGCCAGATGACAGGTTCTTCCATTGTTCATCATTCAGAATTTGTATGAACTCCATGTGAACCAGACTTCTTGCACACGAACACTACATATACCGGCCTATTCAGTTGCAGATGTGTAGCTTGAGAATAATGCTTATTGCTATCGGTACACCTGGCCACGAAGATTACCATTATGATGTCGGAAAAAACATAACGGGTTCTTTGTGAACAATCGGTTTCGATTCCATAAGTTACAGAGGCATAAGAAGCGCTTTCTGTGATCCCAATATAAACATTTGCTCATTTTAGGCTTTAAAATCACACCATAAAACGTGTAGGGCATGGTATACGATAAAGCAGCTTGAAATGCACAGTTGCTGTATTAATGAACGAGATTCATCACTGCAGTTCGTTGTTAAGACAGCAACTGCGACCTTCAGAACCAACCACAAACGGCTTCCTTTTTGACCACTTTTCATGTTTGCTCATGGCTAATCCAGGCATAGTACACTCTTGATCCACATAGCATTCCAGCTTTTTTGTTTCTGAAGTATCGTTACATGTTCTCCATGCCTAACTAGACAAAATATATCCTACTCAATTGCGCATGTTTTTTTTTCCTTTCTAGCAATCGTTTACTAATTACAAAGCATAAGTATGTACAACTGAAGCTTAATTGCAAGCGAAGATGACAGAATTTTTTTTTTTCAATTAAGTAAAATACATAATGCTTCGAATGTAAAGTCAACACAATGTATTTTCATATCCCTAAGGTTATACTAAAAGTATTATAATATTTTTAAATACTGTAAGAAAAGTTTTGATCTCATGTAAAAATACAGGATAGTCTAAGATAAACCAAACTCAAAGTAAGTGAAGAACACATGAACTGTAAGACAAACTTATACAAATAGATGAAAGATGCCTCTACATATACTGTTGAAATGTTCACCGTCATGGTCCAAGCACAGTTTGGTCACTTTCATTATGACTTACTGTAATTCGTATCGTTGGATTCTGGTGATGCGTTACGTATATTCTGTTTCAGTGTATCGAGAATTCGCGGATTATTTTCGTAAACTTCGCTCTTCAGGTTGCCCAACAAATAAGTCTTTACTAGTTAGATCACATGATTGTGGAGGCTACAAATCCATCGAGGCAGTCCTCTGTTATGTAGTCGCAGGCCACGAGGTACGGGTTCCTGGGTCGGAGCCTTATCCCAGTATAATACTTTAAAGTCCATAAATAACATATAAAGCATATTTTGAATTTAGTAATAAAATAGTTAAAGTGACAGATAAGAACGATGAACAATATATAGCAAGTGATAAGCATTGGTGGTAGGAGAATAAGCTGAAGTAACAAGTTTCAGATTGAAAAGATATATGCAGATGAGGTCAGAGTTCAGCAGTGGCCCCACAGAACTGCGAGGATGGCGTGTAGCACTTAACAAGGTCGATGCTCAAATGATAGAATGTAAAATATGCAGTGGAGTGGATCTTAGATCGTAGATTGTCTATTTAAAAGAAGTCATGATATGGAGAAGTCAGGAGCTTGCTAATCGGCTGTTAGGAGAGGAGATAAGTAACCAGTGTACAGGCGGGGAAAAGGGGGGGGAATTATTGGGATCTACACTAGAAAGCAGCCCATTTCCTACATGAAGTAAGTAAAATTAAGTAAAGGAAATAAGATTAAACAATATAATAAAATGCAGGAAAATTATAAAAATTGGATCATGCACATAAGGAGGCTCTTTTCATTACCGTACAAATTTTGATATAATTTGGAGGAAAGAAAGAGGGGAGAAATTAGTTTAAATTGCTTAATACTGCGCTAGGCCTTCGCCTGTTTCTCACGTCGCTTGGATCATAATGAAGTATTGGAAAAGTGTGGTTTTCCACACAGATATTATAGAATTTTTTGACATCATTCATGGTATTTTGATATTCATCCGAGGATAGTAATTCCAAATCATTTTTTCCAATGGCGGGCACTTGCCTGTGCCAGAAACGGCCTTTCCTAAGGCCAGATGTGGTGGTCTCTTTATTATAGAGGCACTTAATAGGTGGGCCACCTTTGCCTCCTATGAAGGGACAGACAATTTTTACATCCATGCCTTCTCCGGTATTCGATCCCGGGCCCTTCGGTATCGCAGTCAGGCTTCCCTAACCACTATACCGTCTGAGCGGCTGATTCAAATAATTGGTCCAGTTAATTTGTGTATGTTTTTTGTATAGAGCTCTGACTTTATTATGCAGTCTATTCATGACGACTTTATCTTCTGAACATCTTGTGCGTTACCAGATTCATCGTGCTGCATTATTGCGGTTAATTAAATTTTTAATGGCAGGAGATTTCCATCTTTGGTTGGGTGTAACTTCAAAGCTGTTATTTTTAAGGGCCGTATGGAGTTCATTAATGAAATTCTTAATAAGTGCATCTAAATCATTTTCAGTTTATGCTGCTGGTTTAGTGAACTATGTGTTGTTTACAGCTTTGATGAAATTACACCAATTAGGTTTTAGTGATCTTTTGTGTGGTGAGCTATAGCTATTAATATCAAAATCGGCAAGGACAGGATTATGATCAGATGATAATTCATCCAGGCTGGCAATGGTAGCTGACATAGCTGACATTCCTGATTATTAAGAAATATTGGCCTTTAAGGCTGAGTTATTAATAGCGTTTTCATATATATTACAATTTTGCAGTTCCAAGCGCGGTGGTGTGCGTTAAAGTTTCCATCTATAATAATTCTATTTTGAGTTTAGATACTGTCTGAATATCTTGATGAATATCTGCTGTAGGTCTGTGATAGGGGATATAGATGGAGACTAACGTGATTGGTCCAGCCTTGTGTGGAATGATGTTGATAGCTATGGCCTCAATGGCTGAAATCCGTGGAATTGTTTTGTAGTAATGAAGAATGAGCTTAATATAAATGATTCCTCTATGATAATCTAATCTGGTTAGATCAACTCTGTAGAGTTCATAATTACAAATACGAAGCATGTGTCCCTATAGGAATAGTACGTCCCAGCTGTACTCATCTATAAAACTCCTGAGTTCATTAATTTTCTGGGATAGAGCACATGCGTTTCAAGTCATAATTTTAAATGGTTCATACATTAATAAGGTTTGCAAAACTGCAAATATCATTAAACTCTGCTGTCATTTGTAAGAAGACATGAAACTTATCGTTAATAGTATTATATTTTTTAAAATTCAGGTAAATATTTAGTAATTACAATTATGATAATATTTAGTTCACAATATTGGCATAGACAGAATGAAATTTATTCATGATATTAATAATACTTTTATAAATATCAGCTTTTGCATTTGATAAAGTTCGGCATTTAGGTTTAAACATTTTTACAAGTCCAGGAAGATTGTTGTTGGTATCAGCAGCAGCTGGCGAAAGCACCTGAGTATTACTGCTAGTTTGTGTTTTTGTGAGTATAAAGGTTTTCTCAGATAAGGCTTGTGAATAACTGTCTCCTGGTTTAGTCAGGTTTCTTTTTATTGGCTTATTGGTGGAGAACCCACGATACGAAGCCGGACGTCCTTTATCCCCACAGTTACAGCAGGTCGGGACTTAGATCTTTCCAACTTGCGGGAAAACTTGCGTTCGGTGATCTAAGACGCATTTTACAAATCTTGGGTTCAAGTGGCAGGTTTCAGATGAATAGTGCTAAAATTGGCAGTTCTGGCATTGAGGAACTTGTTTTATAGAAAAATATTTTCTACTTAGATAGAGAACAGGAGTAAGTCCTTGAGATCATAGATATGTTTCCCATTAATCCGAAGTGCTGTAACAAGTGATCCTAAATGGTGGCCCTAGTGCACGAGTTAAGTGAGCTGTGGATAACCTTATGTACAGAAAAACCTCTATTTCTTAGAGCTAGCATATTTTTATCATAGCTGGTTTGAAGAGGTAGGCCTCTCAGTAGAACCTTAATAGGTCGTTTAAATTTTAGGTTAATTATATAGTGTTCAATTTTCTGAATATTAAATAATTTGCGTAACTTCCGATGATCCTCATGAGTATTGGGGTCAGAGGCGTGTTAGGCGCCCGGGGACAACTGAAAATTTTGCGCCCCATTCTCTGTTCCAAGAACGGAAAACATTTCATTCTAAAATTTTGTAACATCAATTTGGCGCCCCCTGAATGCTGCTTCCGGGGACAGATGCCCCCCCTTGCCCCACCCTATCTACGCCACTGATTGGGGTGAATCTTAACAAACTCTCCTTTCAACCGTTCAAGGAATTTGGTATCAGTCATAGTAGTAAGTTGTGCTAATTTTCAATAGGCTTATTCATTACAGGTGGGATACTGGTCTTGGGGTTGCGCCTGCTACTGAATTACCTGCTCTGTCGGCGTTATTGTCATCATTTTCATTATCAACAGTCAAAGCTTTAAATTTGTTAGAAATATTAATACATTTTTGAGCGTTTTCACGTTTAAGTACTTTTGCCATTTTAGTGGGCAGAACAAATTATCATTACTTTTAACAGTTTTAGTAATATTTACTTTGTTATCCTTAACCTTAATATTTCGTACAATCGTAGCATTAGCATTGGATTTGGGGGGGGGACAAAAGCCTGTACTAGAAATAGAATTCTGGTATTCACCCTTGGCGAAGTCTAAGTATCCTTTAGTAGTCTTCAATACTATCATTAATCCACCAACGAGCTCACTAGGTTTTCCCGCGATTTCGTGCTTGCTCATTGATTTGATCATAGTATCCAAAGAAGAACATTTATACTGTAACTCCCAAAGGCGTAACATTGCGCGTATCGACGGGTTGCTACCATCCATCCGCTCTGGTTCCGCGCCTAACGGCAGCAATTCACGATTATGAGCTTTCATACAACCTCCACGCAAGGGATTGGCACGTGGAATAGTCGAGACAGTCCTATCAGGTGTGAAAACTGAGTGCACTGTTTCCAAGGAGGCTTCACGCTTTCGAAAATAGTTTCGTTTTTCGGTTTCTCCTCTCGCTTTCTCCGTTCGGTTCAGTTCTTCTTGGGCCACCTTTTAAATCGGATATTATGTGTAAAGATAAGAAAGTTCTACATGTAAATATAACATACACAGAAAACAAATTGAACTGATGAAAATCAAATAGTTTTTGGAATGCGCTCTGTATTAATTGGTACTTTTCCGTTTCGCCGGCGCAAATCTCGCCAAGCAGACTTTATTGGCGACAACATACAGTATACATATAAAAAATATTAAAAAAATTTTAGTTCTAAGAATTCTTTTTTTGAAGGCTTAAACATTTTAATATCGCTTAAAACTTTATAAAGCCAATAAATTTGTAAGAAGACATTAATTTAACAATTTACTATGCTTTCATGGTTCAACATCCTAATTCGCCGGTTCATATCACGTGACCCCAAGCGATCTCATCTCACGTAAACTACTCTACAAAAATCTAATGCTCTCACTAATTATCTACATTCATTTCAAGTTAAATCTTAATTTGGAACACAAGTTTAAATGCAAGAAATATTTCAATGCGTACGAATAGCTTACTCAGAAATTATGTAAAACTGCAGTACTTTACTTTACTAATACATTCTCATTAGAATTGATGAATTTAACCCTTGACTTTCCTTTTCTATATTTTCGACTTCGGGTAAGAGCTGTGATTGCATCCTGATTGACTTAATTACCGAAAATGGCCTTAGACATAAAACTGATATATCTGATAAAAATTCTATGTAATTATATGCCAGTATTGAAAGAAACAATCAATCTGATAAGAAAAAGCTGAGACTTGTTTTGAAAATGAGGCGTAAAAGGTTACCAGCGAGAATATTCCGTTTGGCATCGGTTGTACCATTATTGGCGACTGTATCGCTTGCGCCGGCAAAACGGAAAAGTACCTATTAATTGAGTTTTGAACAAGGATTATTCTGCGATGTCTATCTTAATTCATAATATAACCATGTTTTACGATTTCAGGTAATTAGAGACATACTGTGGGGCCAAAAGTATGACTATAACAAGTTATCTGACTGGACGACTCAAGTGATTCAGAAAGTTTTGTATTTTCTTGAAAGCCAGGCTGCACCTAACAAGTACATTGGTAAGTCCCAATACTGACTGTATTTAATTACTCTCTCCCCTTAAAACCGAAGACTATCTGTTGTTTTTTAAATAAATTTTTATAATTAAATTCTTAAGATTAAATCTTTTTTAAGGGAAGTATATTTCTTTACATTTTGTAGTTCTTATAGACAAGGCATACCCATTTTCGATTGGATATTTCAATTCTATTACTTCGTAGACATATTAGCAATAAATGGGCTAGGGATATTAACATCAGTCAGCTGTGTTCATTGTTTGAAGTACCAAGCCATTTTTGTTAAATGAATCTTTATACTGTTAAAAAGAGTATATCAAGTAAAACTGATATTAGTAAACGTATTTCTGCTATAAAAATATGTTCAACGGTATATTGTTTAGATCCGATCAACATTTCGCCCTAGTACAATTTTTTATTTTGTGTATAACTATGAAGTTCCAATTTGTCATATAAGATATGTTTTTCTCTTTTGCAGTAACTTGCGTTATTTTACAAAAGACAGGATCCGGATATAACTGCTCTAGCTCATGTCACTTTGATGATACTACGGATGGTACGTAGGTGTACTAGTTAAATTTTTTCCATTTCTTTAAAAGAATTCTTTTATCGAATTTTGGCTTTGAAAATCTAGTTTGCATTCCTGCTTTATTATTTACCTTTTCACTCTCAATCTCGATGGTACGAAGAAGCTGCCAAATTTCGGGATATTTCATGCAGTGCTTAGTGACAGAACGCATTATTTCCTCATTTACTAAGTAATCACAAGTAAACATCAGTTATGTAAATAAAATTCCCTCAACTAAAACGTGCCATGACAATTATATTCATGTACACAACACAAACATATTGCTTAGTTATTCACGTTAATCTATGACAATATTAATTTAACATAATAAGCAGTCTAAATATTAATTTTTAAATCAAATTAATATAAAGAAACTACAGATTTTAAATAAAGTAAGGAGGTATCTAACGAATAATGTCGGTAGGAAAAGAAAAGGCCATTCAAATTTGTAACGATGTAAATCTTACCTGAAGCATAGAGAAACATTTCATGTCATAACACAAAAGAAACACAATGTAATCGGACAAGACGGGATTTAACTCTGTTATTCTATTTCATGTACATGCAAACCCTAATTGTGAACTATAACAATATTTAGAATATCTCTTAATGCATACTATGAGACTCACCAGCATTTTACCTCATCAACATTTCTTGCTAACGCACTGAATCTCACTCGCGCCGCATAACGCATTCGGAGCCATCGGTAGCACTCTTGGCTACCGATGGGCCCGAGTTTGAATCCTCTTCGATGTTTGTAAGTGTAATGTCTGGGAACACTTAAAACGTTGGTTAACCGGAAAGTCCAATCGAGAAGCTTGGTGTAAAGGAAGAGGTTGCCAGATACAGGTTGATGATCTTGGTGTTGCGTGCGTACCGGTTCGTTAGGGATTGAATGAAGTCCCATGAAAAATGAACAAAATTTATTATTATTACAACAAATAAAACAAAATGCTTAAATTTCCTGAGATATTCATACAGTATTACAATATCTCACAGTAGTTATTTTTTAACTACTCAAACGTTCAGCAGAACTTAATTCAAAACAGCTAGAGAAAGCTAATCCGCGAATTCGCTACCAGGGTAGGCGGCGAGGACGCCCCTTTACTTACTGCCCCACGGGGTTTCCCCCTCCTATTTGCTTAATTGCTTAAAGTAGAGTGCAATAAAGGAAATCACTGGCGGTACATTACTTAAGAGCCACCACTAGCTCAATAAATAAAGGTGAATCAAATAATAAAATGTAATTCACATGTCAAAGATCTCTTTGTACACAACATTTCTTGTGTGGAGTTTTCTATCATTTTTAAGCTCGCTTTGCAGAGGACCATCAATTATTTTTAATTTTAAGTCTGTTCCTTCACGAACTCTTGAACAGGCAACATAAAGTTGATCATGTCCAAATGCAGGCTCAGGTAAAAAAATGCCAACACGCTTAAGCGTTTGGTCCTGAGACTTATGGACGGTCATAGCAAAGGCAAGTTTTACAGGAAATTGTCTACGTCTCAAATTGAAACGGCAACCCTGTGCCGTGGCAACTTCACCCCATTGGCTAGTACAGTTACGCAAGCAACCAATAAACTATCGGCGACAAACAGACTCTTAAGCCGCATATAATAAAGATATTTATTTATTTAATTTATATTTCTTTTTTTATCGGTGCCGGTTGCATATTTCCGAATTATGTTATATATAGATGTTAAATTTATTTATTAAATGTTAAATGCACATGCTCTTGTGTTTTTAATTTTTCTGGCTTAGCTTTCTTATAATATTCGTCACGCGCTGCACTGCACAGGGAATAAAACAATTTACAGTAACGCGAGTAACCAATAAACTATCAGCGACAAACACTTAAGCCGCATATAAATAAGCATCAGATTTAGAGTATCTCTTTATGCATACTATCAGACTCACGAGCATTTTACCTCATCAACATTTCTTGCTAACGCACCGAACCTTCCTGATCGATAGCGTTGCTGGCTACCGATCAGTCCGAGTTTCAATCCCGGAGAAGACTTCGATGTTTGTAAGTGTATAGTGTCTGGGAACACTTAAAATATTAACTCGAAAGTTCATTCGAGAAGCTTGGTGTAAAGGAAGAGGGGAGGGAGGACCTTTAGATCCGTTCTCTAGAGTGTTCTCCACACAAAATGGGGCAGAGCTGCATATTTAGTGAGTTGGAGCTATAACCGTACAATTCACTGGTGAAATTATAGTGTGCCACTTATTTTTTCATGTCCTGGTAAAGGAATGGCGGGCTAATCGGAAATTTTGGCACAAAAGCTCTTGCTGCAAAGCCAGCCCGAAAGATTGATTCACATGTGCATTGTTTAACTCGAAGAAAGTTATTTCTGCAAGAAAATTCGCATTATAGTTAAGTAAGCAATCAGGAAGAAAATACCAATCGTTTTCAACGTATAACAAGTGAGATAGTTTTTGTGATGATTATTTTTAATTTGACTAACTTCATGTCCTTTAGTTTTAATTCTTTTGTAGCGACTCTCAAATCTTTCTTTTCAATTAAAAAAAAATTTTTTTTAACCCAAATGGACGTTAGCATAGAAGGACTGTTAGTCCCGAAACTACATTTTGCGTTGAATCACTACAAACAGATGAATCACTTTTCAAATTATTGCCACCAAATATTATCCTCCTGTATTATATTTAAAACTAAATACTGAAGAATCATGAATGTACGAATGTTTCTCGCATTGTGAAAAAACAATGGTACCTAAAGTCATCATATTTTGAATAAAATAGCCCTCCACGAACATGGGTATCTGAAAGACCGAATTTGGAATTTGTTTTAGTGTCTATTCCATATTTTGTAAAACTTAACGAATTTTTGATTCAAAATCTCAACAATTTCAAAGCTTGCAGTAGCAGCATTGCAGAAAATAAAACATTTTTATCTCCAGCGCGCGTGACTGTCTCTTGGGAAATTTTAAAGATATGCTGTTTTTAAATATTTTTAGCCCAAATGCTCTCGAGAAATGTATGTGTCTATAAATGAAAAAAAAACGTCTGTTTGGGCATAATATAAAATCTGAAAGCCTTGAGATTTTATTTATTTATTTATTTACTTTTGAAGAGAATAATAATTTTTACAATAACGCCTACACCGAGTCATAATTTTAGGGCAACTGTCTTAAAATTCTGACACAGTGGTCTGCATCAGATGAATGTGTTCTTATTGTTCAGCTCCTCAGTTCACAAAAAATGCTTTTACATTTTGTCTTTCTAGAGGGCACTATACTAATTAATCAAATAATACAGTCATTAATGATCAGGTAGGAAGTTTCCAGAGAAAAGGTTAATTTTTTCTGTGTTTAAAAGATTAATATTTTCATTTTGCACTAAGATTTGTACACTATCCGGCTAACAGAAATTTATTATTAAATAAACTGAGAATTTGGGGATGAATAAAAGTTTTAATTCCTAATGTTTAGTAAATAATAGAAAAAAAAAAATTTTTTTTAAGTAAAATGAGGAAAATATATCCCACAACAAATTAATTTTTAGTTTTTTCACATAATTATTAAATCCTTTACATTTTTTATATGTTTCTGCATTTATTAAATTTATTTTTTCAGTGTCGTGCTACATACGGTGGGAAAATGACTCCATGGTATGTATAGTCAATATCTATGTGATGAATATTCTTTATGGAAGCCCAAGTGTTTCAATCACGTGAATAAAATCTTTCTCTTTCATTAGTTTTACATTTTTTAATAAATTGCAATTTTAAATTTCTTGAATATTTACTTTTGTTAAAATTGCAGACACTGTTATTCATTTTATATTGTTCAATAAATTAAAATTTCAGCTTCTTGACTGTTTACTTTGTTAAAATTATAGCCTTTGCAATCAATTTTTCATTTATTAATAAATTCGAAAGCCCGGCGGTCATACGAAACCGCTGTTCTAGATATTATAAATTGTAATTAAAATCATTTGTGCAAAGGTGTCTGCTAATTTAAACTGAATTACCCAGGGCAGGCGGCGATGACTCCCCTTTGCTTACTGCCCACGGGGTTTTCCCCTTCTACTTGCTTAATTGCTTAAAGTAGAGTACCATGAAGGAAGCCACTGGCGGTACATTTCTTAAGAGCCCATCGCTAGCTCAATCAATAAAGGTGATTTAAATAATGAAATGTTAATTTACATGTCAAAGATCTCTTTGTACACAACATTTCTTGTGTAGATCTTTCCATCATTTTTAAGCTCGCCTTGCAGAGGACCATCCATTATTTTTAATTTTGCGTCCGTTCTTTCACGAAATCTTGAACAGGCAACATAAAGTTGACCGTGTCCAAATGCAGGCTCAGGTAAAAAAATGCCAACACGCTTAAACGTTTGGCCCTGAGACTTACGGATGGACAATAGCAAAGGCAAGTTTTACAGGAAATTGTCTACGTCTCAATTGAAATGGCAAACCAGTGCTGTGGCAAACTTCACCCCTTGGCTAGTAAGTTACGCAAGCAACCAATAAACTATCGGCGACAACATACACTTAAACCGCATATATATATGAGGTGAAGTAGCTTCATCTTCTCCGAAACGATAGCCCGGAGCTTTATTGTCGAGCAAAGGTAAAGCCATTTCGACCATCTTCTTCGATGGTCGATGGCACGTCATTTGACCATGGTCGTTATCTTCGTATGGGACTTTATTATCCGAGATATTAATTAAAAACTAATTTTCCTTACGTTTTCCCTACATTTTCTACTTTCTTTCTTGGGTTTTCCCTATTAGATGGATTTGGCTACGTACCAAATTCTTTTTTCTCAAATATCTACGGAAGGGCATCGAGTTGAAATTCGAGACGCGTATCCTCGAATTCCAAAGAATTTTCCGAATCCATCGATACCGTTCTCATCTTCGTACGACTTTAATCGGTTGAGATATTAATTAAAAACTGCGGAAACGATAATTTCCGCGCTCATTTTTCTAAGTGGCAAGAATAAACTATCGGCGACACACACTTTAGCCGCTTATATACCTGTATAAAGATGGGCAGAAGTAACATCATTTTCTCCGAAACGACTGGCTCCCGGGCTTAGCGAAGCACATCGTTGGATTCCGCAGGTATGTGGCACACCATTTTGACCATTCGCGTCTTCTTGGGGCTTTAATTAGCCGAGATATTAATTAAAAACTAATTTTCCCCTACGTTTTCTCGACATTTTCCACTTTCTTTCTTGGGTTTTTCCTATTAAAGGGATTTCGTTACGTGCCAAATTCTTTTTTCTCGAATATCTCCCGAACGGCGCCGAGTTGAATTCCTTGGATTCCAAAAAATTCTCCGAATCCATCGATACCATTCTCATCATCGTATGACTTTAATCGGCCGAGATATTAATTAAAAACTGCGAAAACGTTATTTTCTGCGCTCATTTTTCCGCTTCATTTTAAGCCATCGGCGACACACACTTTAGCAACTTATATATATAAAGATTATAAATTTCAACACCTTGAGTATGTACTTTGTAAAAATTATAGAGACATTTAAACATTTTTTTTTCGTATATAAACAACATGAGAAATCAGCCATCTCACGGGGATCCTAACTGCAGATTTTCCAAATTGTGCCTGGTTGTTCTACCACTTACACCACAACAGCACGCACGAGAGAATGTGATATTCCTTATAAAGTTTTTGTTATTAAAACTCTGATATTTAATGTTAATACAGTTAAAAATTTCTTAAGAAATGATTATTCAAAATATTTAATATAATGCATAGAAATTTTGCGACATATCAAAACTCAAAGAGCAATTCCCTGAGGTGAGCGTACCCTATTTTTTTACAGAGTCCGCTGCTTTGTGTGCTCGCAATAGTCTAAATAGATCCTTGATCCCTCTCATACGTGACCCATGATATGAACTTATTCGGTTACCCGATTAAATGCAGAGAACATACAGGGATTGGACAAAAATATGGAAACACCTTTAAAAAAAACATGTTTCTTTGCTTAATATGGTGTAGGAAACCCGTTGGCATCCAAAACAGCTTGCAGTCTTCTCGGAATGGATAAATACAGTTCCTGTATGTTTGCCAAGGGAATATTATACCATTCTTCCAGCAAAACGGTGGCAAGTTCAGATAACGATGTTGGCGGTGGATAACGAGAACGCACTTTCCGTTCCAATGTAGACCACAAAGGTTCGACAATATTCAGGTCTGGTGACTGTGGTGGCCAGGGGAGATGGGACAACTCATCCTCGTGCTCAGAAAACCAGTACTGGACAATGTGAGCTGTGTGAACAGGGGCTTTGTCGTCTTGGAAGACACCATCACCATCGGGGAACAAAGTTTGTACTATGGGATGAACTTGATCGGCCAAAATGTTCACATAAGTCTTGGCAGTTATGTGCCCTGACACAGTTATCATAGGGTTAGCAGAGAACCACGATATGGCTGCCCAAACCATAACAGAACCCCCGCCATGTTTCACTCTTGGCAACAAGCAGTCTGTATTATAGGCTTGAGATGGCGTTCTCCAGACGTAAACTCGGCCAGCCAGAAGTGGGAAACAATGTGAAGAAGACTTGTCAGACCATATTACTCGCTTCCACTGCTCTATAGTCCAGGCTTTATGACTTAAACACCACCTTTTCCTGTTACGGGCATTAGCATCACTGATGAGTGGCTTCTCAATTGCAGCACGGCCAGCAATTTCCTGTTTACGAAGCTCCCTTCTAATTGTTTTTGTACTCACAGGATTCGGTAACACAACATTCATTTCAGCAGTAACTTTTGCAGCTGTGGTCTTCTTATTTTTCGTCACAATTGCCCTTAATGATCGTCTGTCACGATCACTCAGGACACACTTTCGTCCGCGCTGTGATTTAGCAGATGATGTTTTTCCGCTTTTCAAATACGCGGAATAAATCTTCGATACAGTACCTCTTGAACACTAAACACCTCGGCTACCTTGCTTACGGAAGCACCTACCATACGTGCTCCAACAATTTGCCCACGTTCGAAGTCTGTTAACTCTGACATAATGCAATGACAACCTCACATAACAGTACTCCGACAACAACTGAACTGTTTAGCACATTTACGAAGTTGTATAGGTGGCGTCAGTAGTCAAAAACGCCAGCGCGATCTACATATTTCATTAAAATCAATCTTTCTTTTCAAACATGCATTTCACAAGGTGTTTCCATATTTTTGTCCATCCACTGTATGTCTCTCTTAAATCTATTCCAACCAATTTTTCGCAAAAAGTTGAATTCTAACGTTCAGTTAATAAATCGCAGGGCTGCTATAAACAGTAATTCCTGAACCAAATGTCAAAACGAATACTGCCCAACTGCGGTGCAGTCGTGAAATATAAAGAAGGGAAAACATGGGGACGCTAGAAGAGGGGACTGCGTGTGAGGACCCTTTAAACATCTAACTTCTCTGCATTAAGTTTTACAGACAGGAAAAGATAGAAAAATTGAATTCTTTGAATGAATGCAATTTTGTGCTATGAAAATGGATTACTGAATTCAACGATAAAGAGTTTTAAATTCTTCTACAGAATAACTTTACTTCCTGGACGTTTATCAGCTTCATCATATTTCTTAAACAGAATCTCAATGCTGATTCCCTTTCCAAGCCGTTTCTGTATCTTATTTTTTCTGAACTGAATTATAGTATAGCTCAAAATACAGTTTTTTGAATGAAAGAGGGGAAAAATGAGGTTTAGGTTAGTTTTCATTGAGTAAAAATGGATCCATGCGCATTCTGTAAGAAAGGGAAAATTACAAAAAAAAAAAAAAAAAAAAAAAACTACTTTCGCAGTCAGATTTTTTTCCTTAAATATTTAAATATTCCAATCCATTACAATTAGTAATAATTACCTGAAAATGCAGTTTTAATTGTCATTTTCTCTCTGACTCACCTCACCTTACAGTTCAATAGCAGTCGATTAGAATTTTTGTGGGTTCATTTTCCTTTATAGTACACTTACGTTATACATATACTACTTTATTCTATTTTTCACTTGCAGCTTTCAACATCTTTAGGAAAAATCAATATGGGAATCCAGAAAATGTTTCTTAGTGATGTTAAGATTATTATTATGAAGTAGATTAAAAGTAGTTTAACACTATGCTCGTATCCTGGCCTAAAAATAAAAGCTGCGAGTCAGGATTAAGGGAGTAGCTAATATGAGGTCTTAATTAAAAAGTAATTTTAGGAAATGTTGATCAGTCCTGAACATTATCAGCTGGATGAAAGACTCATTCACTAATTGATCAAATGTATGGCAAACAGATATTCGACACCTGTAAAGGAAAGAAAGGTTAACCAAAATTAGTTATATTTTCGTTTTTGCGAGAACTAAATCGTAAGAGATTACAAACATTAAGTGTTATAGACATCTCTAAAAGTAATTTTGTTTCATTGTTTGATTTTCACAATCGAATAAAATTTCTGACGCTAAGAAATTACTTAAAAGATACTTCTGAGTTTCAAAAGCTTTCCTTCACACTTTACCCCGTCTGAGCAATGGCAGATTAGATGAAAATTTAAATGGATTGCACCAGTTTTCTCACCCCCCTACACCTTACCGCTGCGCGTAAGCATTTTCGTGGTTTTCCTTATGGTAACTCGCGCGAGGGTCATTTTCTCATCCAACAGATTATGACTAGAGAGTGGAAAAAAGAAAGTGACTTATATTTCAGCTTCGGTGAACCACCAAAAGCTAAATTATGCGCCTGCTTAATTCTGTTGGCTGAAAATCATTCTAACACTAATACACATGTCTGAACAAATGAGACTTAGAATGGAAATTTTTATTATCTTTTCTTAAATCTTA